CTGAAGGGGACCAGCTCTTCTATTCTCCTCACTTCTAATTCGAGTAAACGTAGAATTTCTGAGCACCCATATGTAATGAGGCAGAAGATTCCCACAACTTTACATCCGGCATGTCCGCCAAAATGTCTTTTAGTAAATGTATTGTTTAGCGTACATATTTAGTGAGCACTGTATGAGCCACGAGATCGGTTTTCTTGCTCCAAACGACTTTAGCTCACACAAACACCCCTACCGGCCGATTGAAGTGGTGCAGCATGTTCGTGAATCACAGCGATGCCACCTGACCTGAACTATAAAACGATGGGAATCCCGCATATTCAAGGCAGCTTCCCCTGAAAACGTTTTTGCCACTGATTAATTCGACGACGCTTCAAACTGAAGCAACAACAGCAAGCCACATCTATATCGCCGGCCATAGCGAATAGTTAGATTTTGAAGACGTTAGGGACAAAGAAAAAGCAACGAAAAGGAATGAAAAAATCACCGGAGGAATTCTCGAAATATTCTATAGCAGAATCTTCATTTCACTCGTTTTTATTTTCCTACTTGTGAGATGAAGTAGATGAGCCTGCCCTGATAAATTTTGCTGATGCACCTCATGAGCCTCGTTTTGGCCTCTTTCTTGCCTCTCCCCCTGACCGTGCCTTCAAAAACTCGGAAGTAAAAGCATTTTCACGGCAAATTTATCGTATTGCCAATGAAGCCCACACTTTTCTCGTGGACTAGTCTAAGATTTCGAAAAGTCCACCCTCCAGAAGGGGTTGTATAAAGAGTTGAAAACACGCTGTATCTTCAGCTTTCATGCAAGGTTTCCACGAAAGTGTGGTTATTATTTCTCAGAAGTTCGCCTGCCGAATGCAACCGGTAGCCACCAGTGCCCTCAGTCTAAATAAGCTAGGCCCACCAACCTGATCCTCAATGTCTCGGCAGGTGTGGCAAGAAAGAACCTTGACCAGTGATCATTGAGAGACGAAATTCCTCAAAATTCATGGAGGAATTGCCTCTTTAAATTGTATACATTGCACAAAATTGATGACTACGATACGAAACCTACATACACTAGTCTGCAAGCTATTTATTGCTTTGAAGACCTTTTAACGGTTCCTAATATTTGCTTTTTGTACTATACTGGAACAGTTCCTTATATGTGTGGTTAGGTTCTATAGAGGTGTTTACTCGGCAGTAATACGTTACGGAAAGGGCTCTTTCATAAGTTTTGTTCACCAGTGTAGGTAAATGCGCAACAAAGAAAAGGATAAGTGGTTCAGAGTTGATCATCCCTTTTGGGATAGGCCACGCACTTCATTCTCATTCGAAATAGTTGTGAAATAAGAGTTGAATGTGGTGTGTATTTATTGCGCTTATAATAATTCAACAACTTCGCTCATTAGTAAGCTCTAGAAGAGTTACAGTGCTGCTGAATATGATTTCCTTCCCTCTTTTCTTTCTCCTTTCCTTTCTTTTTTTTTGATTTTTGAAGAGTTGCGATGCGCTGTCGGCAACACTGACTTTATGCAGTTTGCAAAACGCCTGTTACCAGCTAACCCTTTATCTTTATCTTTACTATACTTAACTCATAGTTCAGTCAGCGAGTGCAGTCCAGTAGGCGGAGTAAAACCAGGCAACTTAAACTGACATAAATCTCAAACTCAAACAAGGCTTTAAGTGGTCTACTGAATACCTTGTATCGTCCATCGTTGTCTTTTGGAGAACTTTTCACCTGCACTCTTTATTACTAGTAATGTGATCTAGTTTAGATCTTGGTAATAGCGCATCCCCGAATGCATCAAATAAATAAATAAATAAA